GTGTGTATGTGTTATTGTATCAGAAAGGAGTTTCAGCATTTCACCTCTCAATATTCTGACCTAAACTTACTTTTTACCTTGGGTTTATCCTGAACAATTTTCAGTTTAGACACAAGGGGGCTCTTGCTGTTGGTTACGCTTGCTGTTCTGAAGCCTCCACTTAGTGGTTAGTTTGGTCAGCTCAACCAGGTGTGGAATTTAAGCTAATCAGTGCATCTAAGAAACTGGCATGAACTGGTGAGTAGCATGGTTTCAATTTAGATAAGATATATTTTAAAAAATTGTGTACTTAGTACCCAGAAGCATTTTTTGTGAAAAAAAAAAATAAAAAATACATACACACAAATATATATATATGGACAAAAGTATGCTGTTGATTTCAGATGGGGGGCACAAGTGTTTTTTAATAAACCTAACTTCGGTGTGTTCGACCACCCAATCACAGACCCGATTCGGTGGCACATCTGATATTTGTAAAGCGAGCTTCTCAGGAGTGACAGTGACAGTGACAGCCAATCACACAATATAAGATGGAAGGCCAATCAGCAGGAGCGAGCTAAACTCAGGGAAGAAGGCTTCAGTTTGAGCTGGGGTTTTGGTCCTATTGCTATATATAATGGAGTATGGTAATGTTCCACAAAACTCTGAGCTATCCAGGACTCCACTGAATGAGCACATTCTCATTAGCCTAGTGCTAATGCCTTCAGGTTTGTATCACCTGTAAAATCCCCACATTTAAGCATTATATTGAGTGTAATGACTAAAATGGAACATTTGCCTTTGGAATAGTTGCTGAATGTCATGCCATGCTTTTCAGGGTTCTCCATCTTTGCACAAAAGAATCTGAAGGATCAAGTCAAACATGTGCTATAACCCACTATCGATGTGCCAGATTTCAAAGGCCAGTTACAGCAGCTGTGGATTTGCTTACTGCAGGTTTTGGAAAAATCTCTCTCTGACTTATTTTCTCTCCAGATTCCCTCGGACTCGATGGAGTGCGAAACCCATACTTTCAAGGGACTAGACGTATGTCAACCTATCTATTTGGTCAAACATAAAAGGCCTAATCATTGCTTGATCATATATGCAATTTACATTTGCAGATATGTTTATTTTATCAGTAAGTGTATGAGAATTCTGATTCTGAACCAACCAAGTAAAACAGAAGAACACCATTTTGGTCTTTCCAATAATGTCATAACATATGTATTATACCTGACATACCTTCTCATGCTGCAAAGCATAAGGAATTCAAATCCACTTATTTTCCGGGCTCTTAAGATCTATAAAATATACGTTCCTTTAATATGACTCTTTTTTTCCTCCCTCTGCTTCACAGAGACTTAACTGGACTGAGATGAAGGAATTTAGAGCTACATTCCTTACAAATCCAATTTTCTGTATTTCTTCTTCCTGCTATTCAAGCCTGCAGCTTCAATACCTGATACATACTTATCTTCATAATATCCTCTCACGTAAGCTGCATGGTAAATGTGGAATTTCCTTGTGCTTTTTGAGCCTAGTTTTAATCCGAATCCGCCGCTGAACAGCGTTGACCCAGCAAATGAGATCCAAGACCCTTGAATGAGAGCCAGTAGGAGGCATCTGTAAGATACCTTACCCTGCAGCTGCTTTTTATCAGCTCATCACATTATTTGAGTACTAACCCACACCTGCTGCTGCAATTAGAACTGACTGGGTCAAAACAAAATGTAAGCCTTTGGAACAACAAGTAATTAGTAAATTTGTAATTGAAAGTTTGGTAGGGAATAATATATAAAACACTGTCATATTTTGAAGTTTGAAAAATAACATTGGAATCATAGAGCTGACTTGGATTTTTGACTTTAGAGCAGGTGTGTTTTTTTATCGTTTACCTTAATGACTTGTCAGAACTATCAACACAAAATGTCATCAATAAAAAAAGTGTACTATCAAGAGAACATCCTGCCTCTCTGTTACTTCCTGTCTACCTGCAAGGATGTACAGTAGCATGGGAGTTCAGCCATTGCAGGTTATAGAGATGGCAGACAGGAAGTCTTAGAATTATCACACTGCCCTAGAATTAAAGGAAAGCAGTTTCTGATGGACATCACATTTTATTACCTTGATGTGTTTATTTGGGATGCTTAAGGGGAGGTAAGCTCCTGAAATTGTATTACTGGGCACATATTAAGAAAATATGTATTTTAAGTTTAACAATTGCTTATTAATTCAATTCAGTTCACTTTATTTATATAGCGCCAATTCACAACACGTCATCTCATGGCACTTTGCAGTTCACCAGATCATACAGTCAAATCGATTCGAAGTTTTCTATAGAAAGGAAGGAAATCCCTCACACTAAGCATGCTTGTAGTGACAGTGGAGAGGAAAAACTCCCTTTTAACAGGGAGCGGAAAAGCATTAAAAAGAAATCCTTAAGACAATTTAATCTTTTAAATGTTGGCCTACTTTTAGTCTCTGAAAGAAACAAAGTCGTGTAAAAATAGGAACTCTGCTAAATTGTGGAAATGGAAACACTTGATGGATGCCAGGTTTTCACCCGGAGACATGACTGCCATCATCTTTGGTCAGACTTGGAATTTGGTCTTCCAACAGGAGGAGAAAAGACAGCGGGGAAAGTAGAAGCAACTAGTGAGGGTGTCAAAGTTTGGAAAGAACGGCAGACAACACCGGAAGTGGGAGAGCCGTGTTTTACTGCCAAAGTAAAAGCACCTCACTAGTTGGAAATTGCATTCTTCATATTAATTAAGATTACTTTTGTTTTTATGTCAAATTTTTTTTTTTTCAAAGCTACTTCTTTCCCGAGAGGTAGGTGCAAAGAAAGTCTATTTTCCGAGTAAATACTTGCTATAGATAAACAAGGAATGTGGGCTTTTATAATGGTGATAAATAATGAAACCAATATCAATTTAACCATGTTGCTAAGAAATATAAAGTAAAATAAGTTCTTGTTGAATCCAGATGCCTAAAGTTCCTGCGCATAAATAGGCTATTTTGTGTTTTTTTCGAGTGCAAAATTATTTAAAAAAAGCTTTTAGTGATACCCAATATTACTTAAACACTTGCAAAATGTGTATAAATAGTCAATAACAAGTAATAAGTATTGAAATGGGGACAATGACTTCATAGCATGGATAACTCAAAATTTAACACACAGATATAGATATTTGATTAGGTTTTGAAATGCATGTCCATGGGGATTAAGTCTGTAATGTGTAGCCTGTATTTGATCATATTGTAGAAACTTGTGTGGCTTTATTTTGTTCATTCATTTTCAATACAGATGATTCATAAAGGAAATTAAATGTGTCACAATAGCTTTAAATCTAGCTTTATTTTGAAACCAACATCCGCATTGGAGGATCCCTTACAGTGGGTAACTTTGCCTCAGCTGGAATATCAGCGCAGGGCTGAACTTAAGGTGGTTGGACCCTTAGTGCAGCTTCCAGAACAACCCTGAACCTCATCGAGCTGAACAACAGAGATGATGGGACTTTAAACATGAGCTCAGACTTATAGTTTCTCAGTGTGCAAAGTTAAAAACGAAGATTCTGCTCTCAGAGGGGAAAAGTTTAACTACTTTGCTGTGGATGCGGAGATGCGCAGAAGGTGATCGGGATCCTTATCGCTTCTACAGACCTCAACGAGTAATCAAAACGCCATGAAAGGTAAAAAAATAAAAAGTATAGTTTGTGTATTTTTTTGCAATGCATGCACGGGACTTTCAAAATTCAGATTTCAATCCAGTTTTTTATAGCACAGTTTTGCGCGTTCAGATACTAAATCCTATGAATCTATATCTTTAAGCGCAGATGAGCAGACACAATCTAAATAACTTGTCATTGGCATGGCTATGAAAAACTTTCTGGTGTATGATTTTTAAGCCAGCATCTTAAATATAAGTCACCATTTCGCCATCTCTTTTTGCAATTTCCACCTTTTTTGCAGTGCGCCTCTTCCATCTGATTTATGTTTCCCAGAGATTAAGGCGCGTCTGCGCTGCACAGTTTTATGAATTGAAGGATAGTAGAATATAATTCCGTTATGTTTTTCTAACGAAATTAGCCAGCATAAATTAAACAAATAAACAAAATACACTAAAAGTTTTTATCTAAATCATAGTAGATTAACAGTTAATCCACCAACAAACTGTTCAAAAATGAAGATTAATGAATGCCATTTGATTTCTTTGAGCTGAATTTTTTAAGTGGACTGATCTTTTCAGTCATATTGTCCACACCATGTGGACACATTTACAAACCTGCACTCATTCATGCACCAATACACATTTTGGTGTTAACTACCCTGAGGAGGCAAACATCCATAACAGGAAGCTTGGAATCAAACCAACAACTCTTGGAATGAAAGATGGCTACTCCTCTTACAGGATCTCCTAAAAACACCAGCTAGTATGTGATCTGGTCATTATCTACAGACTTCTCTTACCTCTGAGCTCCTTCTCACCCATGTCTTCCTCCCCTCAACCCCATATGCCTAACATTACTTACGATTCTCTCTGATGTTTTTGTTCCAGTTTCACTGTAGTGTAGCAGAGTGTAATTAAAGTTTACCGTCAACAAACCACAGAAACTTCACCCAGCTGCATACCTTGGACCACTAAACCCCACACACAAAGACAAGAGGTCAAACAAAAACAGTAAAATCCGTGGCTCTATATTTTTGAAAACATTTGGCTCTGTACAGTTGAACTTTGCTGTGTTTTCTGATTCATATTGTTGCCTTTATTGCAAAGGACAACTCTTAACTCTTGTCTTATTTTTCTTATGTCATCTAGACGACTTTGGAGACGAGGAGGAAGTACAGTCTTTTGGATACAAGAGGTTCGGTGAGTAGAAACTGTTGTTCATGAAGTTAGTAGAGAGAAGCCAGCATGCTTTGAGCTCTGATTATAAAACCTTTATGGCCTTTCAAATAAACTGCACTGGGTAACAGGCACTGAGTGTGTGGGCTTAACCCTTTGTGATTTTAAGCACTCACTTACACACAATCACCCTCATATTTGCAGACTGCAACAAAAAGTTTGGATGAACCTCCAAGGATATCTTGAAAAAATGCGAATTATTACTTAGCTAATATCAAAAATGTGGCTGAAAGTCTATGTGGTCCAACTACCTACAGGCCAAGCACCGTTTGACAGAGTGAAGCAGATCAAGAAGCTTCTGAAACTCTCTCTTCAAGCATCCTGCAACTTACCAAGTCACATAATACAAACTAACATTGTTATTGTGTGTATGTTTAGGTCTTAAAAACACCCTCTGGTGGTGGTTGAAAGTCACAGCAGTATAACAGCAGTTTCTTTACTTAAAAATTAACTCAAAATATTTTCTTTAGAAGAGTAGACTAGAATAACATCTTTATTTGGAGCAACAGCTTTATTCATGACATAGCTAAAATAATCACAACTAAAGCGGAATATCAAATTGCCATTATTGTTTTCACCTTAAATGTAAATGATACATGTCATATTATGGCCTGAAAAACATTTAAATTATTTATTGAAATGCCTTGGAGTTTTTCCATCAAAAAACCTTCCCATTTAAAGAAGGGAACACTTGGTGGAGACAATTTATCTGGTAGAAAAAATAAAGATGATGATGTTAACTAAAATTTCACTGAAACTGTCCGACTACAGATCTTCTGTAGAAAATAACTGGGCTATACAGGTTGAGACATTTAAAAAAATGTCTTCTTTGTGTTATTAAGCTAAGCTCACTAAGCCCAGTTAGTGAAATAAAAAAGAAGATGATCAAATAAACTCTGTTACAGAAAAAAATATATTAATTAGGGTCTGTCTTGCAGC